AGGGGTGCTGGGGGTAGTGGGGGTGCTGGGGGTAAGGGTTCTGTGGGTAGGGGTGCTGGGGGTAGTGGGGGTGCGGGTTCTGTGGGTAGGGGTGATAGGTTATTAAATCAGTACCCCCCCCCCTCCCCCCTCCCTTCTTCTAACCTTTGGTGAAGGGGAGGTGGAGGACACAGCCATCCCTGGTGGTGGTATGCAGGACAGGATGACAAGTCCTGCAGCTCTCCCGTCCTCCCGCGCGATGCTGTGTGGAGCGTTGCCATGGTAACGCGCGGCAACGCTCCACATAGCTCGCGGGAGGACAGGAGAGCTGTTTCCTCGATCCCTCCTCCCTGCTTCCGGTCCTGCCGACACGGAAGCAGAGTAGGCGCCTGCCGTTTCGGGCAGGCAGGCGCCTTCTCTGCAGTGATGGCAAACCTATGGCCGCGTGCCCACAGAGAGGGCCTGGCGTGCCACCTGTGGCACGCGTGCCATAGGTTCGCCATCACTGGCCTAGATGGATACTGAAAAGGGCCCTCTGACACATTATCAAAAAGCTCCTATAACATACTCAAAAGTGTATCTCAACCCTCCTGTCTAGATAGGTACTAATATAAGTGCCATTGACCATAAAGTAACAGCTTGTTTATCCGGGAAGCTGTTCAAATAGATGTAGCCAGACCCTGGGGCCAAGTTCAGAGACTGGAGCAAAGGTAACTATCTGAAAATATCCTCCAAATCTATAAGAACCTAACCTAGCTAAAAGGAAAAACGTCTAAACTCGACGCGCGTTTCAGCGCTCTCAGGCGCCGTTTTCAAGAGTGTTTCCATGCCGGGTGCTTACCCGGTCTTTTAAAGGGAATGGGATCCGCCTTTGAAGCTATGTTTAGTTTTAGCCCCGCCTAGTCATTATGACATCACACGGACGGAGGCTGAATAGGTACAATTGAAGGAGCTCAAAAAAAAAAAAAAAAAAAGAGCTTGAAATCTGAAAAGCTGGAAAGCCCAGGGTAAGTATAGACAGTATATTATGTTTGCAATTAAAATCCACTTAACCCTTGGGAGTTAAAAGTTCTAAGCCCTGGGATCCTGCATATTAATGGACAAAAATGGAAACATCAAAATAAAATAGTAAATAATATATTGAGATACAGAGTTGCCATGGTACCAATAGAGATAATATAAAGTATCTAATATCTAAAGGATATGTAACATCATATGTTGCTTGTTATTAAAGGCTTTAAAAAAAGTATGCTATTTATTTAAGATATTAAAGATATTAAACCTGACAAAAATTATTGTCACAACTATTAAATGTAACTGCATGGTTGGACTGTTACATGAGCCATAAATTAAAAAATAGGTCATCATTTGATGTAATTCCTTCTCCATCTATCTCGTTATTAATCCAAAATATATACATGTTGTGTCCTTAGAAATTGATATTACATTTATAACTAGAAAATGTTTGAATAGGAATGAAAGGAGCAAAAATCTGTATCATATCTTTCTTAAACTGTTAGAATAGTGTAATCCTTAAAGGAACACTATAGTCACCTAAATTACTTTAGCTAAATAAAGCAGTTTTAGTGTATAGATCATTCCCCTGCAATTTCGCTGCTCAATTCACTGTCCTTTAGGAGTTAAATCACTTTGTTTCTGTTTATACAGCCCTAGCCACACCTCCCCTGGCTATGATTGACAGAGCCTGCATGAAAAAAAAACTGGTTTCACTTTCAAACAGATGTAATTTACCTTAAATAATTTTATAACATGACAGGAGGCTTCGTATTTGCTTTAGTCTCTCTTTACTAGAACTCCACAGCAGCACAGAAAAACAACCAATCAGAAAAAAGTTAGGTACTATAAAATCCCCTTCCCATTGCATCATTTCCTCTTTCTTTGCTGCTCCGCAGTCAGTACAGGTCAGAGTACCACTGCCTCCTGCTTATAGTGGGTGGCTTTGGGATTTAGTGTTATTTATTTATGATTGTTATTAATTATGCTTGCTTGTGAGATTTATGTGCCTTTCTGGCTCTTTTCTTTTCTTTGGGGAATGTTTCCTTTACATTACTGATAGTTTTTCCATGTGTTTACTTACACAGATTACTGATAGTTTTTCCATGTGTTTACTTACACAGATTACTGATAGTTTTTCCATGTGTTTACTTACACAGATTACTGATAGTTTTTCCATGTGTTTACTTACACAGATTACTGATAGTTTTTCCATGTGTTTACTTACACAGATTACTGATAGTTTTGCCATGTGTTTATTTATACAGATTACTGATAGTTTTGCCATGTGTTTATTTACTCAGATTACTGATAGGTTTTCCATGTGTTTATTTATACAGATTACTGGTAGTTTTGCCATGTGTTTATTTGTACAGATTACTGGTAGTTTTGCCATGTGTTTATTTATACAGATTACTGGTAGTTTGCCATGTGTTTATACATACAGATTACTGGTAGTTTTGCCATGTGTTTATACATACAGATTACTGGTAGTTTTGCCATGTGTTTATACATACAGATTACTGGTAGTTTTGCCATGTGTTTATACATACAGATTACTGGCAGTTTTGCCATGTGTTTTATTTATACAGATTACTGGTAGTTTTGCCATGTGTTTTATTTATACAGATTACTGGTAGTTTTGCCATGTGTTTTATTTATACAGATTACTGGTAGTTTTGCCATGTGTTTTATTTATACAGATTACTGGTAGTTTTGCCATGTGTTTTATTTATACAGATTACTGGTAGTTTTGCCATGTGTTTATTTATACAGATTACTGGTAGTTTTGCCATGTGTTTTTATTTATACAGATTACTGGTAGTTTGCCATATGTTTTAGTCACAGATTTGAGTTTCCATATGTAGATATATCACAGATTGCTGTGAATTTCCAGCTCTATATATCACAGACTACTGTGAGTTTCTATGAGTATATATTCCACAAATTACTGTGAGTGTCCAGGTCTATATATCACATGTGTTTTAGTCACAGATTTATGTGAGTTTCCATATGTAGATATATCACAGATTTCTGTGAATTTCCATGTAGATATGCCACAGACTACGGTGAGTTTCCACCTAGATATATCACAGATTTCTCGGATTACTGTGAGTTTCTATGTGTATATATATATCGCGGATTTCTGTGAGTCCTTGGGCAGTATATACTTATATCACGGATTCTGTGAGTTATAGGACAGTGTATACATAAATCACAGATTTCTGTGAGTTCTATGTCAGTGTATATAGCACCGCTTGCTGTGAGTCATAGTGCTATAGATCTCACGGATTGCTGTGAGTTTCACTGACGGTAGATGTCAGTCCTGTCTATGCCGATACTATTCTATCTTATCAGGCTTCTTGGGAAGATTCATTGAGTTGGCAATTGTTTTTGCTCTACTCCTGAAGAGACCATGAGTACAATACCCTTCAGGCGGTATGAGGATGATGATGACCTACAATAAAGATAAGATATCTCATACGGATCTGTATGTACATGTGCATTACAATTTGCACCTTAAAGAAGGTATTGCTCAGCAGAGCTTGATTTTATGGACACTCACTGGAACATGTCCAGCTTAAACCCAATACAACTGGTTTTACCTCTGTGTTGCCTGCTGGGCACTTAGGGACCGCCAGTCCTGGTTACGGTTTATTCACACAGTAGTATGCTGTCTAAGATTAGTGTCTAAGGGTACTAGGTCACAGGATTCCTGGAGGATTTACAGATATTTAGGGGACTCTGCCAAACTCAGAGGTCCCCATTACTCATTTAAGATGAAACCCAGGATTGGCCTGCTATGTCTGTGCCCCATTAATGGGCCTGCTATGTCTGTGCCCATAAGATTGGCCTGCTATGTCTGTGCCCATAAGATTGGCCTGCTTTGCCTGTGCCCATAAGATTGGCCTGCTTTGCCTGTGCCCATAAGATTGGCCTGCTATGTCTGTGCCCATAAGATTGGCCTGCTCTACCTGTGCCCGAACTCCACTTTGGACCACAAACTTCGGGGAATATCACTGAAGTAAGCACAGTACCCTCTAGGTGGGTGTCCGGACAGACACTGCTGCCAGATTATCCAAGAGGACACCAGGATATGGACATCTAACTGTGATTGGAGGGGTGAAGGCCCTACACCTCATGCCCTGAAGGGCAAAGTTTTTATGAGAATTCCTGGGCACGCAATTACGGGTTATACCCAACGACGACACATCTCCAATGGGAATTTCGCACAAGCAGGGAACAGTGCTCAGACGCCATATTAGGTATTGGTAGTGTTTTTCTATGTCATGTTTTGCTCCTGACCTTTTCAACTGGATTCACTTGATTCGTTTTTTCCAGTTCTGCTATCCGACCTGCCTTCCGAGGTACGTATTTTCCACTTTCTACTTCATTGGTCGTTTCTTTGTTTTCGTGCCTTCTATTGTCCTATTGCTCGGGTCGTCGAGAGGCCTGATTTGACCTCCTCCGACCTCCCGGGCACTTGTGGATTGCGGAGAACGTCTCCAGCTTTCCTCAGACTACTGACGGTCATCCTGGAGCCCGCGCGCACGCACGGGATCCGGGCGGTCCGTTGATAGTTACCATCTTCAGCTCCGAAACGTACTTTTCTCATCACCCCTTTCTCTTAAGGTCGGACACGGCCCGAGGTTATATACTTTGCTTATATTAAATAAGGGTGTAACCCCACATTTGGTCACCCTGAGTCTCTACTGGACTCTGGTTTGGATTACAGAGGGTGCGGCCCTCCTTCACCTCGGCCCGAGACTGATATTTTTCTTTTTCAAGAGTAGAGGGCGAACCCCTCTCATTTACCGAATTGGACACTGATTCATTATTAGAGGGCGTGGCCCTCCCTCAACCTCGGCCCGATACTGAGCTGGATATAGAGGACATGCTCCGAGTGACTCATTCTCATAGAAGGAACGCGGACTCAGAGTGCGATCACATTTTACAGAGTGCGACTCTCTCATACACTCAACGCACTATGGTGTCGTCCATTTGTTCCTCACACAGGCTTGTACCTGTACAGGTCAACTATGACCGCATAGAGGGGCGTCCCTCCTACATCCAATTTAAATATGATGACCGCGCTACTGATTTCGTTCTAGAGGGCTACCTGATCGGGCTAGGTATACATAGTTTGTCTGGATCCATCTTGTAATCCACATGAGAAAGGCCCTCAGAGGTATTAGTGGGGGAGGTTTCCCACTTATGTACACACATTCCGGGAGGAGCCTCAGTTCTTACAAGAGTACAGGTTTTGGTATAACCTGTGCTATATCAAACAGACTTTGCACTCTGTTTCAGATATTCATTGTGTTCAAACTGTGCAGACTATTCTCCCGTGTCAGGGTGACATGAGATTCTGAGACCTGCATAGGGCAAACGGGCACTGCTTTGCTTGAGTAACAAGACTGGAAAATTCACATAAACTGTCTTCAGGTGCACCGTATGCATGGATCGCATGGAGAAACCGAAATTCTCAGGACTTGGCTTCCCTGGTCCTTACAATCTTGAGATAAAGTTGGCAGGACTGCTCCTACAACTCTGAACACACCTTGAGAACAGTGTTCGGACTCTATATCCATCACGGGAACCATCTTGATTTGGGTTCTCACTAGCCTTCCTATTTAACTACCATCAAGGAAACCTACACTGGGAGATACATGCTTGGACAGTCTATGAGACAGGAACTTAGGGGTCTCACTATATTATTCCATATCTTGTAGGTGGCGTGTAGGCCAGGAACCCCTACACGAATATTGACAGGTCGGGCATGGAACAGGATTGTACAAATGGTAACCAGAGTATCTCACACTCACTGCAACACGTAAGGGCTCTTCTGTGTTATACGGTCCTAAACTCTATTGGATCCGGCCATTTTAGCACTCTTAGAGGACGATGTATTTGGATGGAAATCTTTTGAGCTTTCCAGGATCCACAATTCCCAGAATAGTTGACCACCGTTTACACACGAGTTCAGTTTGAGACCTTGATTGGACGCCCTTTGGATGTCTTTTCTAGACCGCAGCCGTGGATTACACAGTCCAGTTGGTAGACTGGAGTCTCTTAGGATACAGCTAGTATTGTCCACACTATTATCTGTATATAACTTTATTTCCGAGGAGACAATTCACCAGGTAGGTCATAAAGGAACGAATAGACACTATTCGGTTCTATTCGAGTATTGACGGTGGACTTAGGCGCAGGCCTGAGGTTGGAGTTTGTCTGCAAGGCCACATCGCCTGGTGAACCTGACACGATCGGAGGAATCACCTCTCACATCAAGAGTCGAGACACGGTGGAAGTCTCTTCTCGTGACCCCTCGGCACTTTACACCTACAGGAATATGGCTAATAGGTCAACTTGGCAGCCCATGGACCGACTGCTAGGGAACAGGTCGTAACCCCACGTACAATGGATCTATCAACGGAGGTCACTTCTCGCAGTTAGAAGGTCGATTTAGGATTGCTCTAATATTCTCGGAATGGGTACCAGTGAAACAAGCAGCGTTGGATTTGTTGGCTGAGCGTTAAAACAGCAAATACGAAGCCTCCTGTCGTTATAAAATTGTAGATTATGCTAGCTTTAGTGTACCTATAATCTTAATTTTATTAATGACAGGAGGCGAGTATTTCCCACCCATTCTTATCCCTCCCTGGTTTAATTTTATAGTTTGGATTTATCAGGTACGTATACAACTCTGCTTTTTGTTTCTGCTACCTGTCACCTGTCCTTATGTCTGTTTTTCATAAGTAGGGTTGGGATATCTACATATTAAGGTAATTTTGTTTTGCTACATTGGGTATCTACAAGTTTATTCAAAATACATTTCATTGGATAATCAACCTGTTCGATTCTGTTTTTCTCTCGTTTCAGTTTCCAGTCCTTCAGCACTATCTGGTGTGGCGCTTCTTCGTGGATGGTGGGCATTGACTTATTTTCAGTCCATCAACGCTATCCGGTTGACAGTTCTTCTCAGACGTTGGACATTGCTGTATTCATTGTATCTGGACTTCGTTGCTTCCCATTATTTTTTCTGCCTTTGTTCTGTTTTGTCGCAGCTTGAAAGAGGAAATGATGCAATGGGAAGGGGGTTTCATAGTACCTAACTTTTTTCTGATTGGTTGTTTTTCTGTGCTGCTGTGGAGTTCTAGTAAAGAGAGACTAAAGCAAATACTCGCCTCCTGTCATTAATAAAATTAAGATTATAGGTACACTAAAGCTAGCATAATCTACAATTGTATCTCAATCTCTAAATTGAACTTTAATCACATACAGGAGGCTCTTGCAGGGTCTAGCATTAACATAGCAGGGGAAAAGAAAATCTTACTTAAACAGAACTTGCAATAAAGAGAGCCTAAATAGGGCTCTCTTTACAGGAAGTGTTTATGGAAGGCTGTGCAAGTCACATGCAGGGAGGTGTGACTAGGGTTCATAAACAAAGGGATTTAACTCCTTAATGGCAGAGGATTGTGCAGTGAGGCTGCAGGGGCATGTTCTATACACCAAAACTGCTTCATTAAGCTAAAGTTGTTCAGGTGACTATAGTGTCCCTTTAAAGTGAAAGTAATTATAAGTAACCAGTGAAAATAAATAAAAATGAAAAAATATATAACCCTTTATAGTTTTTAAGAAAGCAGAATCAACCTTCCAACACTACAGAGACATAGCAAATTTGCAAGTTTAGGAGTTCCAGACTTCAAAAACTATTTCACTGCAACCAATGCCTCCATGGCAATAAAATTTAATTTAACTAATAATACACCTAAATGGCTTCAGATAGAAGATGAAATAATACAAAATTACTCTCTTCTAGATCTGTTATGGGCACCTACATTAAGTAAAAAGATCAACCACTTACTACTTCCCACCACAAAAGTAACCTTAAAAGCATGGGATGACTTGTTCTAGACAGTTCAACCAACCAACAAACTGTCAAGGGCAATGCCTATCTCTGTAATGAGATTAATGTTTCTGGAAATGACCATAGACATACAAGAATGGAAGACATACAACATAAAAATCATTGACAATTTTTTCAAAAGAAACTCCCTACTCACCTTCCCCAAATTAAAAGATAAATACAATATTGATGACAATCTGTCTACACAACATCAACACATTATCACCAAATTAAGAGAAGCATTTAACATTTCTTCCTTGTAGATACTTGACAACCCTCCAATTTAGAAATGATACTTCTGAAAAATCCAGAAGAGAAACACACAATCTCTTCTTGTTACTACTACATGTCCTCGTTTCCTAATTTAAAAACAGGCAATGTATGATAGCATGGGAAACAGACATGGGAATTTAACTTAACTTATCAGATTGGTACAAAATCAAAGATGCATTAAAAGGAAAGATTTTATGCTCAAACCATATTGAAAACCATTTAAAGGTTTTTTTACTGCTGGTATATGGTACCTACTAAACTTAAAAATATGTTCGCAGACTCTTCAGACCTTTGCTGGAGAGGGTGGGGGGAGGGGGGAGATATGTACCACATATGGTGGCAGTGCACCAAACTCAAATCCTTCTGGGATTTCATTTTAACTCTGATCCAAACTATTGCCCCTACTATCACAACTCTCTCACCTCAAATTTAGAGTATTTAAACTCCTCCCAAATTTTTTAAATGAATCAGAAAGGATTGTAATATCACACATTCTAATCACAGCCACCACACTTCTGCCAAGATATTGGAAAATATCCCATCAAAACAAGAAATTTTTGCATCTATTACAGAAAACAAGAGTTACGAACTCGCGACACGACCACCATCTCCTTCACATGCAAAACTAAGTGCATTCTGGGATAACTGGGAACGCACGACAAATAAAATAGGTTGAAATTTCATAAAGGTTGAATACATGGAACTTATTTTACTGGTTAGGCTGTCTTCTTACTCTTTGTTGTTTCTTCTACTGTAAATAATTTGATTTGATTACATTTAACTGATATATACCCTTTATAGCGTTCATCAATATGTTAACCCAATCTATGCAAGACCAAATGTTATTTCTATAAAAATATCAACACATGATAAAAAACATTAAAATGAATATATCATAAAACAATGCAAAAACTGCCTTTACCCTCCCTACCCCATCTTACCCTAATCTTTTTTCCCCCTTTCATTCATATTCACATAAATTATTTTTCTTTATCCCCCCCAAAAAAGGTTCACTGTCGTATGTAAACACATAATATTATATCGTTACAATTATATTACCATCACTGTTTACATTCTTGTATATGCCATTTATGTTAACTGATATGTTTTGAGATATTCTTTGTCTTAATGATGTTGTATTACATATATTGCTCTAAAATATAAAAAAAAAATCAATAAAACATATTTGAAAAGAAGCGCTCACTGTACTTTACGGGCACTAGGATCAATCAATGTGAATGGAAGTCCTTCGGCAGTGCAAGTGGCGCTGGTCCCCTTTAGACTGGTCCACCCATGTCCCCTTGTACAGTGGCCAAAGACACTAGGCAGCAAAAACACTTCACAGTCTGTGTTATAGCGGTTGTAGCTATTAAAAAAATGTCAATTGTAATAAAGCGTGCCAGCTGCTGCATAGCTTCCTTTGCTCGTGTCGACCTAAACAAGACATACTTACAATCCTTACAGTGGATAGTTTTAAAAAATGACTAAATGTCAGACCCATAAACAACTTACTATAATGTCCCTTTGACATTGAGATTGGTATATGTGACTGCACATGCAGCTGTTTACATTCTTTCCAGAAACAAGATTTGTCTTTTTCTCCTGTCAAAAACTCTGGTGTACCAGATATTGGACGTGTGTTGATGGAATCACAAAATAAAGTAACATATTTTGTTTACATTTATTATCCATTTGGCTAGCACAATGTAAGTGTGGGAGTCTCAGCACAATAATATGTAAATGTATTGTTTTATAGATTGCCTGCATTCCTTTCTGTCCAGATACTGGAGATTGTTGTCTCATTGTTATTGACTACTAACACTCCTACCCTAAAATTCTCTCTGTTTATGAAGAAGAGATTAAAGAGGACTAAGAGTATTAGACATATACTTCATGATAACAGAAGACTTTATTATGATAATTTCAAGCCACTCTAACAGTTTGTTCTACAATTTGTTCATCAACTTAAAAAATATTGTATCCAAATTCGCTGAATCTGCTAACATGTACATAACCAGACATTTGTTGGTATTTATAAGAATGCTCTCATCTGTCTCATTTGAGATTCAGCCTTGTAGCTGAAAACATCAAAGTGAATTGTTTATGTAGGACTTGGATTCAGATGTTTGCCTTAACATTGGCAGGTGAGCTTATACTTTGATGGCCTTAGCACTGATACCAAAAAAACTTGGGATTGGTTTAGTACACGGTACATAGAGATTTGGATTACTATATCTGCCATTTTTATGTATTTTTTTTGGGCAAGTGGTGTGATGAATACCATTAAAAAAATAAAAAGAAAACCAAGCATTACAGGAAAACAAATGGTTACATGTTATAGGTGATTTTCAATGTTTTATTCTATAATGCAATTTCCAGATAAGTTACGGGTCTTTTTTAGGCTCAATTAAATATTCTGTTGTGTACATTACAGATAACCCCACATACAGAGTGGAATCGCAAGCCAATAAAGTTGCATATTTTATCTATTTTTGTACATCATCTGTTCCATAATTCCTTAAAAATAACTATTACACTGACTTTTTTATCACAAAGAAGGAGAGAAGGCAATCACCAGTTGTCATGTTATCTTCCCAGTCTGTGTCACTCCAGTGTTGCTATAGCAAATGTTTGATGTGCATTGTCCTACCATATTCTTATTGAAAAAAAAATATGTTGGACCTACATAATTTCTATGGCAATGGGTGCCTACATTTTGGCATCATTCTATAGGTTTTCTGTTTATCCTATATAAGCTTAGTCCACCTTCTGAGCAATGCCCTGTCATGGTCTATTGTACTGGAGAGTGCATTTGGTTTATTTACTGGCTTTTTCTGGTCATCAACTACTGCCTTCTACTCTGAATCTGCTGTCATCTGCAACTCTTACCTTTGATAAGTTACTTGTGTTGTTGTTATTTCATTATCCTTTGACCTTAGCCTTTTCCAGATTATTCTCACCTTCTAAGAATAAGCTTGAAAAAGACCTCCTAGAAGGTCGAAACGTTGCTTTTCTTTTTGATCCATTAATATCTGCCTGCGGCTTCAACACTCTGAGTGCCTGGAAATTCCTTATTTGCCTTAACTTGTTGAGATTGCTGGTCCTGTTCCAGTGCACTGGTGGCTGCTGGGGTTGAGTGCGGTTCCTACAATCATCTTTATATTATCTACTTGGTGGGCTTGGGTGTGTGTGTTGGGATCACTATCTACTCCTGAGGCACATTGGATGGACCATATAAAACCATGATGAACACCATCTAAGACTGACCGCACCCCTGTCTACAACTAGAAGGTACAAAGAATACGGCAACCGGTCCACGGTGTTTCCAAATAATATTGTGTGTTGGACGTCACCTCACGCTACATTATTTGTAGCATTTTATCTGGCATTTTCTTATGTCTCTTATTTTGTTATACGTGTGTGCAGACAAATGTGCAACTCTTTTTTTCTTGATAACAGATTTATATTTCCCTTCGAAATAGCAAAGCGGTAGAAAAAAAGAACAAAAAAAGTTTAGTAATGTTCTTGTATCTGCTCGTTATTGTACGCCTGAATACAAAGCTTCATTTGCAATGTTATATTTTTATAAATGTATCTCCGGTTTATGTAAGCACATTCACCCTCTTCATGCTTCTTATTTCAAAGTGTGAGTGTTTTCATTCACATTAAAGAAACTAACACCTTGTGAATAGAGAACAGAATCACACAAGATTCAATTAAACCCATGCTTGTATTGTATAAGGTTAGATATTCCCTCAAGGATTTACAAATGGAAAAAAAAATAAAAAAAATTGAGAACTCATCATACAAAGCATGTGACTGGAGTGGTGTGAATAGCAAACAAAAAGTGATAAAATGATTAGCGCACAGCAAGAGCTGGACCTAAAGGCATATTTTGTTCTGCTTCTTTGTATTTGCAACATTATTGCCAGTGCAACTAATAATTCAGGCAATGTTAATTCAGTGTATTAAAATAGAACAGAAGAAAAGAACAGAGGATATAGGGTGTTGGAATAACTCAACTCCCCAGGCTCTGTGGAGCTTACAAGAGGTATAGGGGTCTTAACCCCAACACAAACTATAGAGAAAAAAAGAGAATGAGCTGGAAGACCACCAAAATATAATATAAAGGTGGAAAACCTGCTCATTCACAAATCTATACCTCTCAAAATAAATGTACTATATACAGAGAAGGGAGAAAAAAAAAAAAGGGGGGTTCTTAGACCTTTAATGGAACAAAACATACGTATTTTGATTATATATGCAGCTGGCTATAAAGATTGCCAGAAAGTGGTACCCCTAAGGGGTGTGCAAGTAAGTGAGATAAGTGCTCACAAACACTAACTAGAGCGTACCCAAATGACAGGTTCTATAGACCACTTGACACAAGGGTCACTATACAAAAAGTAGTATATGTCTATACAGAGTAACCGTATCAAAAACCAAGTATCAGGGCGAGGGGGAAGTAGAGGTGGGAATAAATAGTATGTCTTAGTAGTAATGGTGCCCCTGGGGGCAGTAGGATAGTTACCAGTGCAGGCTAGATGACTAATACAGGCAAGGTGGGTAATACAAGTAGTTGGCTCGTTACCAGAACTTCTATTGCTGGAATCCCCAAAAGTACACCACACCCCCACCTTGACTAGCCCTGAACTGCTAACTGTCTCCCAAAATCACAGGAGAATCAATTAGACTACCTGCTGCTTCAAGGCAGCCTAAAGACTATCCCTACTACACAAACCCCTATCCGCCCAAAGAGACCCTAACAGGTCATAAAGAAAACAAAAGGTCGTCTAATTAGGTAAAGAGAATAATAATAGAAAGCACAAAAAAGACCCAAAAGGAAAAAGAACTCAAAATAAATGCATCGTCATTTCTAAGTTGCTCGACGCGCGTTTTGGCGTATAAAACCGCCTTTGTCAAGAGCTGAAGGGTGTCTGCATGAACATACGTATTCAAAAGGGTAGGTAAGTCCCGCCCCTGGGGTCTGGGCCACCAATCACCGTCCTGGGCGGCGCCCCTATCGGGCACGTCACGCTAGTACCTCCCATTGTGTCCCGTTATCCAATAGGAGACCCGGAGGACGGGGGGAAGGCGTGGTTAAGCTCCAGACCACGTGGGAGACGGGGTAGACGCCTGCCACAGTGCCATATGCCCGATCGTGTCATAGTACCGCCCCTCAGATGAACGTCATGTACTTGCCTCCCATTCTTTTAATGGGAGGCATGGGGGGCGTACTTAAACTTCGTTCATGCTGCGGACGGACGGGGCAGTTAAATCCAAAAGAAGTAAAAGTGAATACAAAAGTAAACACTTATAAGAGCAACACAATAGCAATATCAACTGTATCCTAGTATGGCAACAAAATGTACCCACGGAACTTTGTTGTTACTATTAAAGTTAGCCAATATGGGGGCGGGGCCGGACCGCCGACGGGATCAGACGTGCTCTGTCTGAGCTCCTGCTTTGGGGCCGGAAAATCGGCGCAAACTGGAGGCAAAATCTTTCCAGCAACCCTCAACGGAGACTAAACTGAGCCCCAGATCCTGGGGTACGAGGAGAAACCCCTCAAGATCCTGTCCGGCGCCTACAGTAACCCGAAAAAGGCCCGAGGCGTGCTGGAGCTTGAGCCGGGATGAGACGGCCGCTCTCCCGGGTCTCCGGTTGGTGTCCGGCCTCCCCCCCCCCCCTCTGGACCGGGGGGGTCATCCCGGTCTACATAATCAACTGCTATTACGCCAAGCTGGGCAGAAAACAATCACCCTGCTGGGAAACACTCACCGACAGCACCCTCCCAAGATGGCCGCCGCATGCCAGCCACAAGTGCGAACTACCCACAGGATGGAACTTGCACACAGACGAAACCATCCAGCGCCATCTGACCACCACAGTAATCATCTCCAGGGATGTGTCGGCTCACTACACTGGGCTAAACAAGGTGATGTTTGCAGCATATATATTTGGTGGAAAAACTCCTTTGTGCCTGAGGAAAGCACAGGCACTCTCCTGAGGCCCACCCTATCCCTCCTGGAGGCAACTACAGTAGCTGCAACTGCATCCACGCTTCTCCTGTGCGACACAGCACACCACTTACCACCTCAAGGTGCACCCTTTCCCAGACGGACAAGCAACCTTCAGAGCAAGCACACTGCCAGCACTGGGTATTGATTAAACAAACCCATGTAGGTCCTCTATTGTCTAATTTGAATGTGTTACATGATTGTGATGCAGCTCACCATATGCAAAGACTCCAAGAACTCTGCCATAATCTTGAGCATTCAGGACTTTATAAGATCCAGTAGCTAAATGGTACAACTTAATTCCACCTTGCAAGAATCACTTAAGTTTTCCTTTTTTGCTTGTTGTCCTAGCTAAGCTCCTCTCTGCCTTGCAAAACACACCTCTTATAACATTGGTCCCAGCAGGCTCATATAGTAATTCTATGTGTCGAACCCATGCATAGTGCTGTATATGTATATGTCCACTTAATCCTTGTTGGGTGCAGATAGCAAAGTGGCAGTGCCAATAGGTACTGTCATGGCAAGTAAGCCCAGTTTCACTCATAACTACTTAACTTCTTTACTAAGTGTCATGCCTGATTTGTCTCTCCTAACTACTTACTCTAATCTAAAAATGTGCAACGATACCAATGCCATAGGGATGTCTTGCTATGTATATCGATCAGTTTGCTCCTGCTGTTGTGGCATAGCAAATATGTCTGTTAATCACATGCACAAATAAAATAAAGAATTAAAAAAAAAAAAGTTAGCCAATATGAGAGGTGAAAACCTACCCTAGGTGTACGGCAAAACTAAAAGGGATACAGTATTCGTTCACATAAGACTATAGCAGTGCATTCATGTTCGTTAGGAGCGTTGTAAAGAAGGTGTAAAGAGAAGGGAACATGAATAAAACAGTAAGTCTCTACATATTGAAGTTGATATACTTAGATGAGATAGCATAGGTAAAGAGGTAAGTAGAGATGCTATATAGTTATGTTAATAGTAAAAGCAATAGTCAGGATTTCAATACTATTCCCAAGAAAATGGAATGTGCGGAAGGTTATTCAGCAATTAAAGCAGACACAAAAAAAAAACCCCCAAAAAAACACAACTAAATATAAGTATGGACCCACCAAAAAATAAATAAGTACTTCATAACATCACATAATAAGTTAGACGCCAAAAAACCATGACCCTTGGCATTAAATAAGGACACAAGATGATAATAAAGTGGTAAAATTAAATGATTAATAAGGTGTAGAGCAGAGTAACGGCAGATGAATAATAATGGGTAAATAAAGGCTCAAGAAGAATAGACAGATAAAGTGTTTCCCACGGCCAGATTATAGACTGAGCATACAGACACACTGTTTCAAATGAAGGGGGAGAAAGAGAAGCCCTCGTTAAGGCCTTTGGGATGTAAGGTGTTAAGTTTGTAGATCCATCTACACTCCTTTTGACGCAGGATTTTATCGAAGTCTCCCCGTCTGGGCTCACGTTTGACCAACTCAAGACCACAGAACCGTATATTTTTAGATGAGCCGTCATGATGTTCTTTTAGATGTCTAGAGATAGGGGTCTCTACACGGTTTTTGGTACATCTCACATGTTCTTTTTTTTTTTTTTTATTCTTTATTTTTGTTTGACATATCAGCGACAAGATAAGACAGTATGCCCCCATTACATAACATACAATCGTGACCTGACAAAGCGAGCTTGCTGGGAATACAGGCACACCAAATGGATGAGCAGTAGAAAAGGCAACAGCACAAGGCCAATTGCATAGCTAAATTATAAAGCTCCCCAACGGGGGTACATACGTCATTAATAAACCATCAAATTAACATTTTACTTTGCACAATCGTGAGCTAATAACGGCCAGGGAAGGTGTAGGGCCCCTAGAGGTAACCAGTAGTGTCTACTCTACGTCTTGCTAAAGGACACTGCGTAGGAGTATGATCGTGTGTTCTTGCGGGAGACCTTTGGAGCTGTTTAGGCCCGGCAGAACAGGGGTAAGGGGCCCGCACGGCCAAACCTAGCAGAATGCCGAGCATCACCTGCAACAAGAAGCTCTGGGCCGGCTCTTAGTGGCGTGCCCGATGCGACAGTAGCCTTGGGCCGCAAGAAACCCCGTTAGCCCCCGGTGCCCACCTATCTGGCTTGCTAAAACATGGG